CTCCTTCCAAATCCGGCCGCCCCTTTCCGTTTCCGATGAAATTAATTGAGGGGAAATGTTTCCCGGGATCCCCTCTATCTTTTCTCTTATGGAATCGTCGGCTAATTTCGTTTGGAAATCCATAGATTCGAGTTCGATTCGGATCGATCTCTCTTCTCCGAACCCTAATCTTTCCTTCTCGTCGCCGGTCGCCGTGGGCCTTCGCCGCCGCCTCCTTGCCCCTTTAAAAGGACCCCCAAGTCCGCCGCTACCTGCCGCCACCCTCGCCTTCGTCTCTCGCCGTCGATAGCGCCCTAGCACCGTGTAGCCTCGCGCCGCCGTCGTCGCCGCCGCTCCAGCCGTGCGTCGCCGTCGCTCCAGTCGTCGTCGTCGCTCGGGAAGGCCGCCGTCGTGGTCGCCGTCGCGTCGCCGTCCTCGTCCGCCCCTCCGCCGTCGCTGTCGACCGCCGGAACACCGCCGTCGTCGTCAAGCCGATCATCGCCGCCGCTCTTCCTCGACGCCGTCGCCGTCCGTTGATCTTCCGCCGTTGTTTTGGTCACCGGTGAGTTCGCCGCGTCGCCCTCTACGTGTTGGTGTCCTCCGTTCGCGCTGTCGTGCCGTCGTTCACCGGCGAGCACGCGAGGCCGAGCCGTCGCCGGTGATGACGTCATCGCCGACGTCGTCGTCGTCGTCTCTCGTGGTCCGGCCGTGGACCGATCGATCTCGGCCGTTCGTTTTGGATGGAAAGATCTCGGCCGTTAGTTTCCGTGAGCCGCCGCCGTGCACCCGGTCCACCGTGAACCCGAGCCGCTGACGCAATAAACCCCTTTTTCCTTTTCAAAAATAATTCATTATTGCGTCATAATTCAATTAAAACCCATATAATTGATTTAATCTGATTTAATCTTTGAAAATTCATAAATAATTCATCTTAGCTCGGATTTAGTTGGTTCAAGTCTCTAAATTTTTCTAAAATTGAGATCTACATGTTAAAAATATCCACATGTACTGTTCATGCTTGTTTATGTGTTGTTTTGGTGTTTTGCTCCTTTCTGTTTAGATTCCGACGTTTCCGGAGAGTTCGTTTTCGCAGGAAAAGAATTTGAAGAGTTCCAAGGCCAGCAAGGCAAGTCACACAGATCCTAAACACAATCCTTTGAGCATGTTGATCCTATATTTAAATTCTCTATTTATTTCAATTGTGCATTTATTTTCGAATGTCACTGGGTGGTGTGAATCTATTCCTTTGTTATGGCCTGTTTGCATTGATTACTTTATTCCTTGATACCTTGGGTTATTATAACTTGACTAGTTGAGCTTTATATATTGGTTCAGCTAGATATTAGATATGATTGCTTAGCCATGCATAGAAACATTAGCACACTATTGGGATAACTTATGACTCACTATTATTTAATGATGGCTTAATGATAGTTCACGATGGTCAATCGTGATTGGTTAATTAATTACTTGCCAACTAAAACTTGATAATGGTGGGTTGTGAGCACATGGTTTTGAGAGTCGTGCTCATGACAATTAAGGACCGGTTCACGATTTTCGGTTGTGAAACATTAACCGTGCCAACCACAAGCCAGCGTGGGCAACGGCTTTACCTTTTGTATAGCATGGTTCATTGCGGAGCACCAGACTGAGAAGTGGCGGAGATAAGCCCACGGGGGTCGCTGTTGATAGCTTTGTATAGCATCGTTACCAGACTGTTTGGATAGCTTTAGATTTGTTTTTGGTAATAGCTGTCGTAATTAGGCATATTTATGGTTTTCCTTTTCATTTTAAGAGATAAATCTCTAGCCGATCAAGTCGTGTTCGAATGGGACTTAGTTAGGTCGAGGGTATCAGTATAAGTGCCTGCAAAGTCAACATGAAAATTAAAGTTTTTGGTTGGCTGTTTCTCATGGACAGAGTGAATACTAGAGACTTGTTGGATAGAAAACATTGTGCTCTCTTGAGCGCATCGATTTCTTGTTCGTTGTGCCAGGAGAATGCAAGAGAAACCAGGGAGCATCTGTTCTTTGATTGCGCCTTCAGTAAAGGGTGTTGGAATAGGCTGGGATGGTGTTGGAACACGTCATTGGAGTTTAATCAAATGCTACACTCCCAGCGCTCCTCTTTCTCCCATCATGGTTTCATGGAATTGTTCCTTCTGGCTGCTTGGAACATCTGAAAGGAGAGAAACGGTCTGATCTTTCAAGGGATTCAGCCCTCTATTACAAGTTGTTTGGCCAATCTCAAGTCGGATCTGAGCCTACATTTAATTAGGTTCAGGGAAAGTGATCGCCCCTTAGTGCAATCATGGATTGGTCATTTGTAATCTTCTTTCTTCTTTTCTTTCCCTCTTGTTCCTTTGTTTTCTTCTCTCTGTAAATTTTTTTGGTTATTAATTTAAATCATACCGTGGGGGCCTCCCTCACTGTTTTTTTTTTTGTTCAAAAAAAATATAAGTGCCTACAATCATTATGACGATATCAACAGTTTAATATACAACTCTCAGTGCATCGTTACCTTTTACTTTTGATGAGTTCTTATTTTCAAGCGGGGTTGCATTGGTTCGATCTCCAGTGAGAAAGTAAGTTCTATCAACTTCGTTTGTATAGGCTTAGTTAGGACTTAATTGGTTGAGTACGATATTCTAATTAAATTACTACAAACGTTCCTTATCTGTTATATCGGCTCTTTCCTTCATTGCATTGCTTTTTGGGTAGATTTGATATATCTATTACTTTGCATAGAATCTATCAGTTTGATTAAGTCTACTTATTTTATCAATCCCATGTTGTGTCAGCTTGGTCCGACATATTAGATTGTAGATAATTAAGTAAATTTCATTAAGATTTATAGGTTCTAACCAAGGTTTCATTGGAGTTCTAGCCGATAAGTTATCTTATTTCAATTTCTGAGTATTACATCGGCTTATACTTAATCTAATACATTCATTATCTACTCTACTTATCTATCTACTTACACCTAAGTTGTTCTGTAATTTTTAGTATCATTAAAATTTTTTATTTCTATGCGAAATAACTGAAGAGAGTAGAAGAGAAAATTGTGGTTGGGAAGATTATACTAGTAGCAAAAAGCCAGTCCTAACTAAATCAACACACAATTACCTCAACCTTCTACCATCCATCATATCAGGCAAGTCGAGGAGATTCAGCCTTATCTATAGATAAGGCTAATCCCTTTTTTCTTCCTTCAATATTTTAGTTTTAATCAGTTCATGAAAAAAATTATACTATTAATTTATTCTTATCCATAATGGATTTATTTGGGCCAATACAAGAAATTCTTGTGCTATTCGGGGATTTATTCTTCGCCAATCAGTATCATGTCAAGATTCATCAAAATAATTTTGAAGAAGAGGAACAAACATTGTCTTCAACAACACTCATCCACTTATTGACATTAATACATATGAATCTTCATAAGCAATCTTCTTGCTAATGATTAATTTCTTCTGAAACCTAGAACGAATCCACTTCTATAGGAAGATGGAACATTTTGGGGTAATGTACCCTGCTTTTCAAAAAAAAACATATAGGTCTTGTTCGTTTCCACTGCAAGGAGTGGATGAAATTTTGGATTTTTGTGGCATGTTTTTCAAACTGCCAAACGGTGTGTTTCGTGCAAAAAAAAACTTTATATATGAAAATTGTTCTAAAATATCATATTAATCCATTTTTCAAGTTTGTGATAATTAAAACTTAATTGATCATACGTTATTACCACTTCATTTTATATGAAACACTTAATCTTCATCTTCATCTTCAGGAGATTCAAACACCACCATAGTTCGCTATCTGAGCCTGCCCACTTGCTAGTTAGGAAAAATAATTGTTTCGTTCCGTGGGCTTCTTTCACTGCTATCTTAACGCTCGCTTTACGAGTGCAACCAACGAAAAATTCCAGGATTGCTTTAGTATTGACTCACCATACACATCTTCTACCTCATCACTGTCAATGGTGTAGCTGATGTGTCATGCTAGGTATCTCTTATTGGCCATTTTTTATTTCTAGCTGGTAGAGGTATTTCCAAAGTTCATCCTTTATTTAGCTCAACATGCCCTTTATGCTAGTTAATTGTTCACATTGTTACTATCAAAGAGCCTAATAGAGAAGAAAGAGTAGCTTTTGTAGAGCTGGGAAAATGTGCCGAAGAGAGTGGTTTATGCTTCCGGGCTTACAGACCTTGCTAACTTCATTTGGTAGTATAGTTGTGAATTTTTGAACTTTTTTTGCTTTGCCCAATAGAGGATCAGTAACTGTGTCCAAGTCCATATTCAACATCCAATACCATTTCAAGTATTGGAGCCACTTCTGCATTTGATTCCAAGCCTATCAATGGATAAATGGAATGAGTCGTGTCAAGGCAACGGAGTGGTTCACGGCTACTGTTTCCGTGGCGAATTTGATTTTTTAGCTTTAACCAAGTATGTAGAAAAATGCAATAACATTTCTAATATCAAAATATATTCAATGCTAAATTTTATGAAACTAATTTAGTGTTATATATGTGATTAATTTGAACTTTGACTTAAAAAAGTCAAACAACTCCCACCATTTTTTAATTTATGTTGTCGTTGGCTTTTTTTAAAATACGTTTAACCATTCGTTTTATTCAGAAAATTTATGTAACTATCATTTATCTTATTATGACTTGATTTATCAACAAATGATTTTGACCATGACTTAATATTTTTATATATTCACGAAAATTTTGAATAAGACGACTAGTCAAATATTTGCCAAAAAGTTCACAGCGTCATATATTAAAAAGGATGTAGCATAAGTCTTGTAGTAATTACTATGTAATTATATTTTAATTATATTATAGTTCTATTTTAAAATTTTTAAATAAAATACTATCAAATTTTGTATAGTTACTCATTAATTTGTTACATACTGGATTTCCAGGATTAGCTCACAACTAAGCCTCCTATCGATTTGAGGAACTTTACGGAAAATATTACGAAATTTGAGCTAATTCCTGTAAAAAAAAAACGTGTTGTTGGTCATCCAGAGTTGGACAGACAGCGCCTTCCTTATCCTAAGCACACACCATCCAAAACCTCCTCCACGCTCTATCTCTCCATGGCTGCCGCCGCCGCTTCGCTGCTCCACCTCGCCACCTCCGCCTGCTCCCCGCCGCGCGTCAGGCTCGTCGGCCCCACCACCGGCCGGAGATCGCCGCTGCGCGCGGCTCCGGCGCCGCCGCCGCCGCGGGCGTACAAGGTGACGATCGAGCACGGCGGCGAGTCGCGGGTGGTGGAGGTGGAGGAGGGCGAGACCATCCTGTCGCGGGCGCTCGACGAGGGCATCGACGTGCCGCACGACTGCAAGCTCGGCGTGTGCATGACGTGCCCGGCGCGCCTCGTCGCCGGCGAGGTGGACCAGAGCGACGGCATGCTCAGCGACGACGTCGTGGCGCAGGGCTACGCGCTGCTCTGCGCCTCCTACCCGCGCTCCGACTGCACCATCCGCGTCATCCCCGAGGACGAGCTGCTCAAGGTCCAGCTCGCCACCGCCGACGACTGAGGCACATCGCGCGCCCGCCGCCGCCGCCGTCGCCGGCGTGTGTGTCATCTCCGGCTAGCTTGTACAACTTTTTTCCCCTCAAGTGGTATTTCCCGAGATATTTGTGACAATTGCTCCTTTGCCTAGCTAGTTGTTTCAGTTGTGATAATGTAGTATCTACTATTTTTGTTTTAAGCATTATGTAGGATACATAGTATTATTTCTATCTTTTTCATATTCTAAGAGACGAACTACAAAAGGGTAATGTACAAAAATTTGGGGAGCTCAGCATGTCTGGAAGCACGGGAGAACGTTCTTTTGCTGATATTATTACCAGTATTCGATACTGGGTTATTCATAGCATTACTATACCTTCCCTATTCATTGCGGGTTGGTTATTTGTCAGTACGGGTTTAGCTTATGACGTGTTTGGAAGTCCTCGGCCAAACGAGTATTTCACAGAAAGCCGACAAGGAATTCCGTTAATAACCGACCGTTTTGATTCTTTAGAACAACTCGATGAATTTAGTAGATCCTTTTAGGAGGCCCTCAATGACCATAGATCGAACCTATCCTATTTTTACAGTGCGATGGCTGGCTGTTCACGGACTAGCTGTACCTACTGTTTTTTTCTTGGGATCAATATCAGCAATGCAGTTCATCCAACGATAAACCAAATTCCCCAATTAAGAAGCAAAACATTTTAACTTGGAGATATATTTTAGTGCAATCCAGTAACATATAGAGCTATATTACAGCATGGAGCAGTTCATTCAGTATAAAGCTCCGAATTTATTCATGGGGATATCATGGACATGTTCCTAACAACATGCAGTTTGCGTCTCCATGTTTGCTAGCCCACGCCCAATGCCTGAAACCAAACATCATGTCATCCATACTGATTTTGGTACATTAGATAATCTTGTAATGCGTATCATTTTTAAGAACTAAAGAAGAAAGAGTTGAACAGAATAATGAAATGTGATGTGTGCTATAGAAGCTCTCAGCTGGAAAGAGTTGAACGGGATAACGAAATGTGATGTGCTATAGAAGCTCTCAGCTGGATTTCTAACATCAGATATGATATGTAACTACTACCAGAACATGAAAATGGTGTTGCAGAGCACTGATGTTACTTACACGACTGTTACAGCAAGCAAATCATGCTCCGCAATTACATATCGCCTGTGCCTGAGCTTGTAACTTCTAGGCCATTGCCTGTAACAGGACAAAACTGTATAAGCAATCGTAGAGTTATGTTTGTCACACGAAAGCATTACATAAAGATGTTATCAATTTTAATTCAAGTTTTGTTTCACAGCTCAGAACTCAGAATTGCTATCTTGAGTCACAGTCAGGAAGGTGACTACTTTTTTGATACAATAGGAAGGTGAGTGGGTGACTATTTGCAGTCCATAAACTTCTGCATTCAGTCATGCAGAAATGACTAGTGAAAACACGCATGACAAGAGCTATTGAGCTAATACCGGTAAAGCCTTTGGATAAGACATGAGTCACACACCACTAAACCAGTCGCATTTTTGCAAGTTGAAGGAGAACAAATAGGAGCAAACATTTGGACGATTGGTGTCACATGCACAAGCTATTGGCTTGCTAGTATGCCACTCTGTTTCAAGCTTACAGTATCAGCTAGTTGTACTGGAGATCAGCACATCGCCAGACAGAGCAAGCACTTCTATCATTAGAATATACTTGCTACATTCACATGGAGAAAATGGCACCAGGAAACTTTCTACAGAAGTAGTCAGGGTTATGAAATACTTTTAGCAAATCGTAGATTTCCACAGAATTCTTGTAAGAAATACATGATATGATAGCATTCTTTGAAATTACAGAAAATAATCTAACACTAGTTAGAAGGCAATGCCAACCAGATACTGACTAAAACAAGTGAATTTCTGTCTTGAGCTTATCTTAAATCATTAGACAGATTGCTATCTATTGGTGGTTTTTAAGCAAACTCTGGTACATTGTGGGAACTAATACCAGTGAATTTTCAGAATCTATTCCAAAGAGTGTGTACTACTTTAATGACTAATGACAACAGATATCTAGTGACATTGTCCTTGATTACTACAAGCTGCTTAAAAAGAGAGACAGAAAAGCAATTACAGAATATCTTACTACACTATGATCAATTTGATTACAACCAACAAGCATCAACAATGAATAGATAGGCATATGCCGCAGAGAACAAATGTGTAATTTAACAAATCCTAAAAATCATGGCATAATAAGATAGTATAGCTAATATCACTGAACTTCTCTATTAGAAGCAGCCCGTAAAACATACCAAATCGCAATAAAATTCTGCATTTTGACTGCACATCATCATAGGGATGTTATCTGTAATGGACTAGTAAACCCTACACGGTCCTCCATCAGAATTCAGAACTATGCTGCATATTAAGCAACAATAGAATTTCAATATATATTACGATTTTTACCCCCAGAAACACCACATATCAGCCTTTTGTAGCTTCTATTGCTGTAATGCCAAGAATAACTTCTTATCAAGTTTTATTTTCTGACACGTTGTTTAATTTCGATACACCTGGAAAACGCTAGTGAATTTATACTAGAAACTATATGATCGAAATGATAAATTGCATACAGACTTACGAGATGGTAGCTGCCAGAACTAGAACTCTGGCATTATGCAGGCAAACAAGCGACACTCAAATGCAACAGACACGTGATTGGAGGCAACATTCTAGGACCTTCATTGACAGAATAGTATCGGATTTCTATACCAGAAAAGCCTAAACATGGCACTGTGATTCCACTGATACTCACAATAATTCTGTTTCGGAACATCTAGGAGAGCCACATAATTGTATTCCCAATTTCCATCAAGAACCCCAAGTCTAATCATAGCACAAACAAACAAACGCAAGGTTGAAAATTGTGAGGTTCCCAAGTTGCTTACTCCAACTAAGATACGCAACAGAGCTACCTACCACAGAGCTGCAACAGGTAACCAGAATGTCCCAATTTCTCATCATTGCAAGCACAAATGCCAATCAATCGCCCAGGAGCAGAATCAATAAATACCCGGAGCCTCTGGGATCCAAAGGGGCGCTCACCATCGGGGTCGAAGAAGAAGACCTGGCGCGTGCGCCCGTCGGGCTGCGTCTTCTCGAACACGTCCGTGCCCCGGGCCTTCAGCCCGGTGAGGAACCCGTCGTAGTCGGCGACGGAGAAGGCGAGGTGGTGGCGCCTGGGCAGCTGCGCGGGCGGGGCGCCCGCGGCGCCCGGGGCGACGGCCGCGGGCGCCGCCGCGGGGTCGCGCTCGATGATGTGGAGCGCGACGCCGGGCGTCCCCGGGAGGCGGAGCCAGGCGACCTGGAAGGCCGGGTAGTTCGGGGAGGCGACCCGCTCGAAGCCGAGCACCTCCTCGTAGAAGGCGGCGAGGCGGCGCACGTCGTCGGTCTCCCGCGCGACGTGGTTGAGCTGCAGCGTGGCCATCGCGGCGAGAGAGCAGAGAGGGAGAGAGAGCGGAGCGCGGCGTAGGCGGAAGAAGAGTGAGAGGAGAGGACGGCAATGTGTAGTGCCGCGCACCGCACACGTGTGCGCTACTCGAAGAGAGGAGGGGGTTCGAGCGCAGTGTCACATATTTACAGAGTATTAACATCTATATGAAAGAGAGAGTATAAACGAAAAAATAATTAATTACACGGATTGCGTGTAAATTATGAGACGAATCTTTTAAGCCTAAATACGCCATGATTTGATGATGTTGTGCTACAGTAAACATTTGCTAATGACGGATTAATTAGGCTTAATAAATTCGTCTCGCGGTTTACATACGGATTTTGTAATTTGTTTTGTTATTAGACTACGTTTAATATTCAAATGTGTGCCCGTATATCCGATGTGACACGCCAAAACTTTACACCCCTAATCTAAACACAACCTCAGTTTTGTTTATCTACTTCGTGTTTGTGTTGGTGTTTATCCCTATGAACGCTTACTAGACACTTCCAAAAGATTGAATCGGCATACCTTAAGATTAATGAAGTCAGCGTTCACAATACGTGCAATCACCTATATGAACACAACCTTACCCCTACCCTATAAACAGTTTTCGAAAGAATGCATTGGTATATCTTAAAATTAACGAAGTACGAACATCCCGTTGTCGATAAATACATAATTAACCATAAATACAAATACCCGTGTTAAATTAGGACTTAAACCTAAGTAAGCTAATTTCACCAAAAAAAACCTAATTAGTTGAGCCATGTCCACTCCGTTATTGATTGATGAGTTTTTAAGGTCTTGCCAAATTAATCGTGTAGAATCGTAGTTGAATATAACAAGTCGTGGAATCGTAGTTGAATCCTGGCAGAATTTGTGGAAAACAGAAGTTCTAGTCATAAAAAAGACAGTAAAATGTAGTAAACGACTATTAAAGGTCAAGGATTGTTCCACTCATCTTTGGAGGACATTGTCATTACATAGAGGGGATGAGAATTGCTCTCATTCATTTTACATTAATAGTAGCTCATAATTACAATTCCGTTAAGAGGAAAATCGCTTTCGGAGATTTCTCCTCAGCTTACAATTAACACATACATCCATCAACAAGCATTTGATATGGAATGATGCAAGATGTTCATCAGCTTCATTCATTCAGGTATCACGGCCTTGTGTTGCGTCCACGGTGACCTATCTATCTTTTGCCTCCCCATCTCCTCTTGAAGTTGCGCTCATCATCGCTTGAATCCTCGTAAGTAAGGCTCCTGGAACTGTGACTGGACCTCGCTCTGCTGTGCCTGTCACCACCGGTTGGAGATGAATCCTCGTAAGTAAGCTTCCTGGAACTGTACCTGGACCTCGCTCTGCTGTGCCTGTCACCACCGGTTGGAGATGGAGAAGACGCGCGCATTCTCTTGCTGCTGCGGTGATCCTCGGCGTAATCACTAGAGCGGTGATCCTCGACGTAATCAATGGAGCGCCTATGGTCCCTCCTGTCAGAGCTTGACCTGCTGGTCTTGTAACTGGGATCGGTGCCATGAGAAGAGCTCAGACGCTGGTTACGCTCTGATGATCGAGACTGATTGGCAGGTTCAGGTTCTTTGGGCTTCGCCGCCAGCCTTGGACGTGCAGCGTCTTCGTTTGCCCAGTGAATCATAGATTGAGTTTCCCAGCTGAAGATGACGAATAAACGAACTGTTAAGTGTTGAAATGGAAAGAGGGGTTCTACATGACTGACAGCCAAGTGTAATATAGGGAAATTAAAATGCAACCTTTCTAAGAATCTCTTGACCAAATTGTTCTATTAGTTAATTTTGTCGTCATTTTACTATTAGTACTGGTGAGATAACAAGTCTGATAACATACATACCAGTGAGTATTTGCCAAATTGCCTTGCATTGCTGATGGAAATTGCAGTGGCATGTTGCCGATGGAATTGACACCATAAGGGCCCATCGGATAGCCACCATAAGGCATGCCCGCTGGGCCGTACATGTAAGGATCGGTTAACCAAGGATACCCACTGACGTAAGGGTTGCAATACGCAGGGTCAAATGGAATGCTGTAACCATAGTTAGCATTGTTAGGATGAACAATTTTAGTTGAATCTGCCTTCTTGCGCTTCTTCTTCAATTGATCAGTCTTGGAAGCTTTGGGTTCCATGGTTCCTGAAATAGTGGCCGGCTTTGAAGTGGAGTCAGTTACATCTTTTAATCTGGCATCAGCAGTTGGTACAATCTTCTCTACCAATATCCCTGCAGAATTGCCTTCATCTTTCACTTCGAGATCAACACCTGTTGTCAATTTATGCTCAAGATGGCTAACATGTTCTGTAGCAACTTGGAGGCCAGCATCAGGAGCAGCTGATGATATGTGGTGATCCTTAGATTGCTTTTCCAAGGCAGCTGAAGGAGTTTGGCTTGCTGAATTAGGATCCACGTTGCTGCCTGAAGAGCTCCTGTGCTTCCCTGTACCACTAGTGATGCTGCTAGCCCTTGTTGCCAGCATATTGCTGATTGTGCTCCGAAGTGTTTGGTTGGGAATCAGGTCATCTGCAAGAACCTTGACTCCACAAATGCACTTGGATTGTGTAATGATGTAATCACGAATGCCTGAGAGAAGAACAACACAGTTATTAGCTATGCAGTTGAGGACAGGCAGGAAATGCTATCACAGAGACCGCTGTTATTAAACTATTACCGTTGAAAACATGTTTAAGCATGTATTTAGACAAAGTTTTGAGTATTGGTAAATTACTAAATGTTTATATTTGTCTTGGAAAGTACTTAACAGTGCTATAATTTTATCGAGTTTTACAAATATAGTACTCCCTCTGTTCTTTTATGTATGATGTTGTTTAGTTCAATTTTGAACTAACCAACATCATATATTGAAGGATGGAGGTCGTACAACAATAACTATTCGTAATTTTTCCTGTCAAATACCACGTCAATGTCCAAAACAACATGCTTCTGTGACTAATTTGAAGCATGACTAGCCACATTTCGAATATCAAAGTAATGACATTGTTCATATCCACAGCAAAGAGTTAAGGAGAAATACAGAATTTACTCACATTTATCACAGAAACTGTCGAAGCAGCACTTGCTTGTCAACACCGCATCTGCCATCACTTTATTACATAGCCGGCAATGGAGCTCAGCTGGCAAGTCGTCAACAACACTCACAGATGCAGCTGGGGCAAGAGCTGATGGAATGCCATCAATAGGACATGCAGATACTTCTGGCACAAGAGTATGGGGCTTCTTGTAATCGTCAAATTTGGGATCACCAATGGTCGGGCAATGGTGAATAAAATGCCCTGGAATTCGGCATCTGTAGCAGACATAGCCAGATGGAGGTGTCTTTCTCTCCTGTTGGCAATGTTGAATGAAATGGCCTGGAACTCCACAGCTGCGGCACACATAGCCTGGTGGAGGTGTCTCCCCTTCGACCGGTCCATGACCTTCAGTTATAATAGATAGATATGTCAAAACAAATGCAGCGCAATCATATAATTTACATAACAACAATACAAAGCAAATCATTAGAGTTCTGGCATCAGAAAATGGTGAGGAACTGTCTAGCTTAACCAATGATAAGTTCAAGTGAAAAATGCCATTACAATGTGCATGACCATTTGTCTCATAACAAATCAACAACCATGATTTTTTCCATTTTTTAACCAACTTAGTGTCCATATCATAATCATAACTGGGACAACAGAACATAAATCTGAACCAAAGAGGATTCCAGCATTACCATAACGTCCTGACGTAAACCTTCCACCAGTCTGTCCTCTTTTAGATGGCTTGTCTTCCCTGCATGCACCAAGATACAAGGCTGTCATTAGGAAGGTGCCAGAAAAAATTGATACCTGTGAGGAAAGAAAATAAGATGCACTAACCATTTGAGTTCAGCTGCATCAATTATAGATGCGATTGCAGCATCCTCATCCTGTACTTCTGTAGAGGAACAAGATTTTGAGGTTGATTCAGTAATCTCTGACTTGTTTGAAGCTATAGCACCATCTTCTATAACTTCCCGCCTGCAATTAAGCCCACAATGCCAAGTATTAGTATATACAAACAAACCTCTCCTCAGCTGATTCAGATTCAATCCAAGCACTTGAAGTAAAATCTCAAATAAAAGATTGTGGAGAAGACATACGAGGAGAACAAGACGATTTTCTCTGATTGTTGCCCAGAAGTTCGGCGGACCAACACAGTCGAGTTCTGCGGTATCATGGCATTTTCATCTAGAAATTCTGTTTTGAGAAACAAACACAGAAAACAGAAATGTCAAAAGCATTGCACTCAAACAATACTCCTTTTATTGGTGAAACGAAGTCTTCTCATGTACAAGATGCGCTTAAACAACAAAACTGAACTGTCCAGATGAAATTAAAGAATATTTTAGTAATAGATCACAAAACTGGGAATTTTGTGGGAACAACTGAGGTGTAATCCTTGTGAAATCTGGGTTCACGTACAGGATGGCAAAAGAAGACGGGATGGTGGAAGTACAATTTGCAAGTACAAACCTTCCACAAGGATTACTGGACAAGATGTACAAAAAAAAAAAAGAAAGGAAAGTGATATGGCAAAACTTCTCATCCAGGAACAAGCTCACTGAAAAAAAAAACTTATATGGACATATCTCGTCAACTGGCGAAAAGATGAGGCCATCTTCCACTGCAATAATAATGTGCTAACACCTGTGTCCGAGTACAGTATCTTAAGCACGTAAAATGGACCTCCATTACAATCACAAAACAGGATTTCATCCTCTCTAAAATACAAATTAGGATGTCACAGGGATACAGAAACATTGACCATCAGATGGGAATCAGTGACACGCAAAACTGATAGCCAATGCCATTACTGGAACATTTCAACAACAACATAGGAAGAAACATAATAAAACCATCTAATAAGAATTCATGAAATGGGGGAAAATAATAATCAGGGTTGTAATAACATATTTAGGCATGTCGAACATGCGCAGACTGAAATGAGCTTACACTTAATATCATTATATTGACAAAGCATAAAGATCATTAAAAACATCTGAATAGCATTGGTATGAGTCCCAATATTGCATTCAGATCAACCGAACAACAGAATATGATCAACACATAGGAGTGCCTAATAGAACTAACACATATCTAGATTCCTAATTCATATCTTGCAAGAACGTTCAATTCCTAATTCTGATCACCTTACAATAATTACTAGTTACTAATAATCGGATTGACACTTTGCCCAACACTTGACCTAGTTAAACTTAGATAGTTACATTGAGTAGGATATATAAAATAAGTTTGTTTCACATCAGCAAAATATTGGGAACTTGGATGCACGCAGAATAATAGCTAATGGGCAAAATTGTTATTACTTATGATGTATCTTAAGCTTTCCTAAAGGTTACAGCAAGAATTAATAATCGACAGAGGCGCTAATATGCCAGCATTCTTCATTGAGAAGAAATGCTGGGTACAATGCCCTGACTCAGTCCTAATTGGTAAAATCATGAACCAATATTATCCTACAGGCTAAAAAGATAATCCATATGGACAAAAGAAAAAAAATACTATTCCAAGTATTATCCAATTCCCAGCTTTGTGATCATACAATGATTTGTTTCAGTGATTCAAGCCAATTAACAGGAAACTGATGCGGTTACGGATAAACGAATGCGTTGTACAGATAGTTAACTACCTTCGCCGGTCTGGGCGTTGGAGAGGACAATATCTTCTCTGGGGCCGCGGCCACGGGTGCGGCCACGGCCATGTTTGTCGCTCGTCAAGATGAGCTGCTTGAGTTCAGAAACAGAGACAAAAGAATGGGGCACGGGCACAGAAATAGTTTCCTTTGAACTCTTATATTTGTAATACACAACACCCATGGTGTTGATATCAAGTTTTTTTTCCCCTTCTCGCCTCTTCTGCACAATTATTTTTTTTTCTTTCGGCGAGAGAGGCTGAGACTTTTTCCCTCAGATATCAAAATACACAAATAATACACAGAGATAGAGAGTTACAGATCGAATCGATCTACGGGGGGAATCGCGTCGATCGGCGGCCGGCGTGTCCCTTCGCCGCCGAGGAGGAAGAAGACGAACCCCGCGCGAGTGAGTCCCGAGTCCCGACGAAGGAGGCCTGCCCGGAGTCGGAACGCGAGAGGCGGGCGGAGTAGAGGAAGGCGCCGAGTCGAGGCGATGGCGGGGAGGGGGGGGGGCGAGCGCGCGCGGGCGGGCGGTCGACTTCCGCCGGCGTCGCTGGCCCGGATGCGGATGCGGATGCGGAGGCGGAGTCCTCGCCGGAGGCGGCCGGAGAGCTAGGGTTTCCGTCGCGTTCGCCGAATAGAAGGGGATTTTGGGGGGGGTGGAATTTGGGGGAGAAATCCGCGAGCGGCGTGGAGTTGGAGTCGGTGGCGGTTTATAGGCGGCTCTGGCGCGATAACGCGTGACGGGAAGGAATCCGACGCGGTCACGTCTCTTGGCCTCTGCTTCCGTTTCCGTGGCCACGAAGGTTCTAGCTTTCGGTGTGCTGGAAAAAGTGATCTATCGTGTGTGCGCAATACTCGCCGACGGCACCCCAGTGTTGCGGATGTTTGTGCGGTCGCGACCGGCTCGTTACTGGGCCATGGTGGGCTCGCGCGACGTGTGGGCCATACTGGGCCATGTTTGTGCGGATGTTGATGTATCGAAATGATCAATTTACAAGTTGTTGTACTTATTTACACCCACCACATAAGTTTATGTACCGTGAGCGCAAAAGAAGATAAATGTTTCACACGTGTATGATCGTTTTAGAATGGTCATTTCATTCATACCGCTGCATGCAAGGATAACTTGGCATGCTTACGTGGCATTTTTTGTGTGTCCAAAGACTATATTAACCTAAATAATTAATTTGAAGGATTTGTTTGGACGATTTGAAACATAGAGGACTGAAATGAGCCCGAAGCGAAACTTCAGGGACCGTATTGGCTATTCACCCTTTTTATTAATAGCCTAGCAAAGTATTCCTACGTTGCAATGGATGAAGTCAACAATAATTGCATACATGGATGATTATAAGAAATATATCGATACTAACTCAAAATAAAATTATATTTTACATATTACTAAGTTTATTTGTCTTGATTAGGTCACAAATATTAGTAGTTACTTTATTCCAAAACTTTAGTGATTTTATTTTGGAATCCATAGTGAAATCAAATTGCATTTTTTTAAAAAAAATAATCAAAGCTAGCTTTGTTTGGCATTTGCGAGCTTCATGGCTGAAATTAATTTGACAATCTTTCTCTGACAAGCTGCATGAGTTCATTTTATTTGACATTGATGTCCTGAAATTGATATGAATATCAGATGGTGTTTAAGGAAAAGTACTTAACTAAACTATTTTATTTTAGTAAGTTATATTTGGATCCTTAAACTCCCATGAGATTAGTAGTTATATTGATTATTGACGTAATTTCTATGAATCTGCATGTCCAAATTGATAGCATTAGCAAAAAAGGGCTGCATGCGCAGAAAGTAAAATATGAAGCTAGTGCTAGTGCTGGCCATATTTATATGCTGAAAATCATCTAGAGTATCTAGGCACTGTTTACATCCCATCCCATAATTTTTCACACTATCATATCAAACGTTTAAACATCTATGGGAAGTATTAAATATAGGCTTAAAAATAACTAATCGCACAGATTGCGACTAATTTGCGAGACGAATCTTTTAAGCCTAATTGTTCCATGATTTGACAATGTGGTGCTACAGTAAACATTTGCTAATGATGGATTAATTAGGCTTAATAAATTAATCTTGTAGTTTACAGGCGGAATCTGTAATTTGTTTTGTTATTCGTCTATTAATACTTCAAATATGTGTCTGTATATCCGATGTGACACGCCAAAATTTTACACGAATCTAAATACCCCCTTATTAGTCAAATCTTTGAAGCTGCATGATAAATCTAGAATTCAGCCTTACACCGGAAGTCCTTCGAATCAAGCCTGTGTCTGGCATGATCATATCACACAACTGAATAATTGTTTTTTCCATTGCCTTGCAAAGAGAAGCCAAACCCAGGCGAGCACCTGACAGAGAGACACATGCAGGTAAACCTGTTGTTGCTATGTCTCGAATTAGGGCCTTCCCAAACAAAATTTTTTACGTTGTCAAATCGAATATTTTAACATATACATGGAGTATTAAATGTAGAAAAAAAACCAATTACACAGTTCGCCAGGAAATTGCGAGACGAATCTTTTAAGCCTAATTGCGCCATGATTTGACAATATGGTGCTACAATATTTATTTGCTAATGATGAATTAATTAGGCTTAATAAATTCATCTCGCAGTTTCCTGGCGGAATCTATAATTTATTTTGTTATTAGACTACATTTAATACTTTAAATGTGTGTCCGTATATCCGATGTGATATAAAGGGGCAAATTTTTTTTTTGCCAACTATACAGTCCCTTATTCCTGTCCTTTGGTAAGAGAGGATTTTAGCATTGCATCAAAGCGCAGAAGCAAATCTTCCTTTCCAAGGGGAAATCAAACGTGACCAACGTGTAGGATTCACGGGAACAAACGAAAACAAAACCAAAAGAACGAGATGCATCGCGCTGTGTCATGATCAAGAAAGCAAGACCCTTCACATGGCACTCTGCTCCCGTTGCATTCTGCTGATTTCATCTGTCACCGCCGCCTGCCGGTGGCCAAGTTCAGTCCACGACCAACATGTTCCAGATCACAGCAAGCGTGAGCGACGCATATGCGCGAGCTTTTGGAAAGCAAAGCGCGATAGTTTTAAGGCTACATATACCAGCGAATTAAATGTTCCGTCTCAACTATCGGAGTAGTGGGAAACGATGGGTGCGGTGACAAGGTATAGATGGCCATATGCTCTGAGGCCCATGGCCTGGCCCGAAGCACGCCATTTTGGTCCGGCCCAAGCACGATACGGTCCGACTGGGGTCATGTCTATGCCGGCCCGGCCCGACCCAACAGCTGGGTCGTGCCTGGGCTGCACCCTCGGCACGGTGGGCCAGCCTGGCATGGCTCGATCAAATAAAAAATATATATGGATGCAAAATCTATAACTAATATAAATATTCGTATTTTTCCGGTCGTCACATCTATTTTTGTCCCGCTTCGTCCACGTACGCAATCCGATTCGGTTAGCAATACCATGGAAAAAAATTGCAAAAAAAAAATCGCCCCCCTCCCCCCAAAATCCCAATCGGAATCCAATCAAACCCCAAAAAAATCCCAATCGGAGTTCAATCACACAACAAAATCGAAGAAAGCATGATGCATGTACACATATATATCCAAATAAAAACAAAAAATTAGATCGAAGGGGGTCGCCGCCACCGCCGTCGTCGCCGAACCACCGCCGTCGCCGCCGCAGGGATGGCTGGCCGCCGGCGGCTCCCCTCCTGCTGGATCTGGTGGAGGGGAGAGTGCCGCCGCCACTGGGACGCCGACAGGCCGCCGCCGCCTCACCTCCCGCTAGATCCGCCGCCGCCGCCGCCGGCGGAGGGCGCTGGCGGAGGGGAGAGCGCCGCCGCCGCCTCCCCTTCTGCTAGATCCGCCGCTGGTGGTGGGGGAGGGCTCCGCCGCCGCCGCTCGCGGGGCGCCTCTCCTCCCGCTAGATCCGTCGCCGGTGATGGGGGCCCCTCCCGCTAGAGCCGTCGCCGCCACCGCCGTCGGTGGTGGGGGAGGGCTCCGCCGCCGCCGCCGCCGCTCGCGGGAGGAGGGGCGCCGTCGCCGCCGCCGCTCGGGGGCGCTGAGGGGAGGGCGGCGAAGAGAGAGATGGGAGGGAAGGAAATGGACTAGGGTTTCGGCGGCTGAGGGAGGGGGTTTTGTTTCCCCGATATCGACGCTCGGCCGTCCGATCAAAACCCTAGAGATCAGACGGCCAGCGTTGGATAGGCCGAAATTGGCCCAAGAGGGATCGAGAGTGAGGCCACTTTTCCGGCCCAAGCCTAGGTTGCGGCCTGGGGAGGAAAAGTGCGCCCGCGCGTGCGCAAAAGGCTGTGGGCCAATCGGCAAGGGCCAGAAATAAGTCTATATTAGGTCCCTCGGGCCGGAAAAAAGAGAGGTTCATTTTTTTCAGAAGCATTTACAATTATACTTATTGAATGTGTTTATTTCTAAGTAAACCTAAAAGGAAGGATTTTTATCTTTTTCCAATTAAATAATTATTAAATGATGTTTGCATTATTAAAATTAGCAATTAAGCTCTGAAAATTCCAATAAGATTCCAAAGAGCGTAACTAATCATGGAGAATTCAATAAAATTAAATTTAACCATGTCATTTTATTTCTCACACTTGCTTTACTTGTATATTTATTTAATTATACACATACCTACTTAAAAATACCAAATATTTCAGCGAATTTGTATTTTAATTAATTGCATATTTTTCTGATCTGTACGCTTCCCGGTGCAACGCACGGGCACTTTTGCTAAACCAAACAATACTTTTGGTCAATATACACACTCCGTAATCACCCGGTGCAACGCACGGGCACTTTTGCTAGTAGACTTAAATAACCGTACACGGCAAGGCCAAAAGAGAAGAGAAATACAAATTAGACTCATTTTCTACTTTGACTCCCTTAAAAGTGACCCGAATCTAATTCATGACCCTCAACCGTAAAACCGGATAGGACGACTCCCCAAACTATTGAAACCAGTGCAATTTGACTCCCTTAGTGGTTTTGGAGGGCGGTTTTGCTGATATGGCGCTGACGTGGCGATGTTGACCTAGTCTTTGTCCCACGTGGCGCTTACATGGCAGCAATAAGTCCACTTTGACTCCCTTAAAAGTGACCCGAATCTAATTCATGACCCTCAACCACAAAACCAGATAGGACGACTCCCGAACTATTGAAACCAGTGCAATTTGACTCCCTTAGTGGTTTTGGAGGGCGGTTTTGCTGATATGGAGCTGACGTGGCAATGTTGACCTAGTCTTCGTCCCACATGGCGTTTACGTGGCAGAGCGGAGCACGTGCGTAGAAGCCACCACCACCACCGCCGCCTTCCTCGGCCCCGACTTCCCCATCCAGGAGACCTCCCAGACGGCCTACGTTTCGCCGACTCCTCAAGATCCTCGTCCACGGTACGCGCGTGCGACGCGTGTTCTTCTTGTGTTATTGGTCGAGTCGTGGTTTCTTCTTGCCTTGCTTACCTACCTCCGTGCTCTTGCCTCACCATGTTCATCGCTTCTTGTTTCGGTGGTGAGATTCTTGATCTGAGGTGTTGAAATGTTCTGACCGTAATATCCAGAATCGTCGTTTGCATTTTAATTTCATTAAAGAACGGAGAATCAACTGGTGAAATGCATCGTATGTAGCAATGCCGTCCAATTTCTTCAGAACTTTTTAGTAAAATCG